TTTCTTTTTTTTTTCAAAGAAAAGGGCAATGGCCTTGACATTTCTTTTTTGTGTAGAACAATAAAGGCGACGACCAATAGTATGCCATTTCCGTTTTGGTGTGATTTTTTTTTATTTTTTTTTTTGGGGCTTTTTCGGTTCGGGCATGTTTTTTTTTTTTTTTTTTAAAGGGCGACGGCCTTGAGATGTCAGTCGGGATCGGGAGGTCGGCAGCCTCGCGTGATCATGCTAACTTTGCTAAGATCAACACGGGGAAGTTGGACCGTGGGAAGTTGGTATGGAGTCGGGATTGGAGGAGGGATGAAGAAGGGGAGAAGGTGGGTTCGAAGGAGGGATGGGGAGGAAGGTCGCGATGATGGGATGGGGATCTGAGCAATTGGAGGAGGGATGAGGAAGATGGAAGCCGGGACGGGAGAGGTGGCCAGTGGGAGTCGGGATGCAGTTGGGATTTGCAACAGCTTCGAGATAGTCATACGACACTAGGAGTCGGGATGGAGTCCGGATTGGAGGACAGTCGGGATAGGGGATGTGGAGAGTCGGGGTCGAGGGAGAGGGGAGGGGGGTGCTTCTTTTTTTCTTTTTTTTGTAGAAAATAAGGGCAATGGTCAATGGTATGCCATTTCCTTTTTCGTGTATTTTTTTAGACGGCCATGGGGAAAGTGGGGAGTCGAGAGGGAATGGACTCGGGATTCGAAGGATAGGGAGGAAGGTCGGGATGAGGAGATGTGGATCTGAGGAGGGACAGGGAAGAAAAGTCGGGGTCGGGGGTCCGTATGGAGTTGGGATTAGAGGAGGGACTAAAAGGACCACAGCCTGGAGAGTTGGGGTTTCGTTATTGTGTTTTTCGGTTTCGTTTTTCTTCTTTTTTTTTTTGTAAAAAAAAAGGGCAACGGCCAATGATGTGCCATTTCCGTTTTTGTTGGGTCCTTTTTCTCCACACCTTCGCCTCTCGATCCTCCCTCCCTTTTCCGACTCTGCCGCAGCCGCGGCCGCGGCGGGGCCCCTTGTTTTTGTAATGCGAGTGAAGCCTTCTCGTTTCAGCTGTTGGCCATTTCTGCCTCCGCTTGTGTGTTTCAGTTCTTCTTCGTCTCTGTGGACTCTTTGATATCCTTTATCCACTCTGGTTTGGACTCTGGAGCTATGGGATGGAATTCTTTCTTTCCAAGCCTGTAATTTACGAAACTCGCTTCATTGGAATTAGAAAGCATGTTTAAAAAAATGATTTGGTTCTTCTAAGGCCTCTGTTAGCTCCGTTGTTCAGTCGCCCCTTCCTGTGGTCATCTCTTTTTTTATCCCCACCCTCTTCTCAGTTTTGGCTGCCGTCATTCTAACTTTTTGGATGTCTTCGCCACCATCTCTGGTCTCTTTCCTTCCTTCTGTAGCCGTTTCCGGTAGTGATGAGATGTAGTTGAAGGTTGTCGCACTGTTATCATGCCTTGCTGTGCTGCTCATGCACTGTGCACTAGGGTCACCTCAAGAACGAAGCACTTGTCCTGAATGAGATTTTACCTGGCCTACCAGATGAAACGGATTGAAGCAGAACAGGAGGATGCGAGTCGACTGGTTCAGAATCTACTGCAGAAGCACGACTGGATTTCTAGGGAGCGCCAATTGTTTGGGAAACCCGGCACAGACTATGATTTCAATTCCAGGAATGCGAAGGAGGCACATCGACTTTATGAAGCCAAGGAAGCAGAGTATTCCAGGTACCATTCACCTCTGGTCTTTTGATGAAGTTTTACCGCTCGAGTGGTTGGTTACTTGCCACAAGAGTGCTCAAATAGATCGCTCATATGGGGCTGAGGGAAGATCCATAGGGTCCAGCTGCTTGTATAGAATTTTCTTTCCTAGAACTACTGGGTATCATTATCCGCAGCGTGCTTGATCTCATGATGACTTTCCCAATCACTCAAGAGTCAAGAGTCCTTTTTGGTGGTGGTTAAGTTGCCGTGGAAGCGAGCTTTATCTGTGATTGGATGCTCAAGTAATCTGTCATGGGGGACTGAGGAAAGATTGATACAGTCCAGCTTATGTATTGTTACGTAACTATGAACTAAAAGAGCGCACTTTGCAAAACAAACGGCAAAAATTAAAAATTCAATAACAAGAAAAACATGAAGGGCACACTGAAACGATTCATTTTCCTCTTTCCTGCAACTACCATGTATCATTATCTGCAGTTTGTCTGATGTTTGCATGACTTTCTACGAGTCGGATGGTTTTCCTGGTGGTGGTTTGGTTGCCTTGAATGTGATGGATTATTGTGTACGGTTGCTCAGTTGGATGTATCATTTGGGGCTGAGGGTTAGAGCAGGGTTGGGCTTATGTAGGATTTCTATTTCCTGCAACATAGGCAGGACTTTAGGTTAGGGAAAATAGTATCGACTCTACCGAGGCATGGTCCAAGAATACAGGTTAGGTGAAACATCCCTCTGGTGTGTGTGTGTGTGTGTGTGTGTGTGTGTGTGTGTGTGCAAATGATGTGTGTTGCTCTGTTGAAATATCTGTGTGTGTGTGTGTGTGTGTGTGTGTGTGTGTGTGTGTGCGTGTGTGTTGCTCTGTTGGAATATCTGTGTGTGTG